ATAATACTAATTTATGGAACAGTGTGACTAGCTAATGTTTGCTCCCAGCAAGAGAAGAAAAATGCAAACAGCTTTTGAATGAAAAATGGCTGAAGGGGGAAAATACAAAAATGTTTTCATCTCACAAATGAGTTTGAGTTGTTTCGCTATTTTAACTCAAAAGAGGAAATGCCAAAAACAGCATCTGGGAGGTTGTTATTGCCCTTTTACAATTTTCTGAATGGGTACTGAATGGGCCAGAGGCATGAGGAATGTCTTTCACTCCTTTCATCCCCAACCCACCAGGCACCTACACCCGGGTCAGCTGCCCTGCTCAGCAGCCCTCCTCCCACCCTGAGCAGGCAAGTCAAACATCACATCTTGTTCCAGCCACCAAAAGTGAGTGGTCAGCTGTGCCACTAACCCAACTTCTTTTCTGATGAGCACACCCCCCCCCCACACACACACACAACCCTCCACATATTAAGAGCAAGGCACCCTGCCTGGTAATAGTACTTGGATCAGTGCAGTATAATTGACAGAAGTGCATCCAGCCACTGGTGCTAGTACTTCTCAAAATATACATATTTGAGGAAAGACAAAGATTATTTGGCGCTTTCTTCAGCTAGAGAAAGTACTGGGGTAACTTGTATCACACACTGATGTGTACTGATCTATTGGGGAAGCTACAAGCTGTGCCTTACCACTTGGTGACCTGATGGTTGGATAGCGTTAAACCTGCCACACAAACGCCTTATCTGATGCTGCTGACATTGCTTAGTGAGGAGCACAGGATGGGCCCTTTGGGGTCAGTTGGTTTCTACTGGCTATCATAGCCTAGCTAAAATGATTTCTAGAGCACGGACAGAAAAATCAAGTCACTGGAGCTATCACTGCTAGTAAATAATCTCTGCTGCCGGGTTGGCAGCTGATGGATAATTGTTCTCACCAAAAAGTGACCAATAATCAATTTATGAAATACAGACAATCCTTCAGAAAACATAGCCTCAGAGCAATTTTTTGACATAAACTTACTAGTTACAGCGTAATCTTTCAAGACATTAGTGCTCAGGAAACATGGCAATTGAATGTCATCTGTAACCGTTATTCATAGTTACAGAAGTTTCTAGAAACCACAACAGAACTGCAGAGTAGGTTTTCGTATTTTTGTTGCAACTTCAGTTCTAAATCAGGGGCGAAAAAGTCTATACAACTGCTTCTTGTTGTTTGCTGAGACTCAGACCTCCCCACAGAACAAGTAGGAAATTTCCTAATCCATGTACAGGAAGAGGGAAATGTTTTTTGCCCTGTCGATTTCAGCCTACAACACAATAGAATTAAGGATGCTTAATTGTTGTCCAAACTCTCCAGCAATCACTGTGAATATTTTAGTCCAGGGTGTGACTAGTCATTCCTTGGTGACTTGGCCAAGACTATCATTTCTCCATTTACAGACAACCTCCCCAAAGACCTATATGGCTTGAAGATGTGAAGGACAACCAGAAACAAAAAAATTTGGTGGTGGTGATGCACATGATACTGGTCACAGAACTGATTGCCCAGGACCATGTCCAGATATATTTTGAGTTATCTCCAAGGATGGAGACTCCATAACCTCCCTGGGCAACCTGTGCCAGACCTCAGTCACCCTCACAGTAAAAAGTGTTTCCTGATGTTCGGAGGGAACCTCCCATGTTTCTTTTTGTGCCCATTGCCTCTCATCCTGTCACTACACACCACTGAGAAGAGCCTGGACCAGTCTTCTTTGCACCCTCCCTTCAGATACCCAGTCAATGATTGTCCACGGTCCTAATGGTCCATGCTAGTAGCATGGTGCTGGTTTCTCTTTATACCTGGGTACAATCATGCTTTGAAGGGCAGATAAGATACATATTAAGTGCCTTCCTGATGTGCTTTTCCATGAAGGTTATTGCTTAGAACTGGTGCAAGAAAATGATTCGGGGGAAATGGTCCATGTGACCATGACAGCAACAGAGGCAGTAATCATTGCGAGCCTTGTAATAAGAAAATAGGAGAAAGCCTTTTGCTATATCCTAGGTTGCCTCAGAAGGGGAAACATTTCAGGAAAATAAAATTAATGATGTGCTAACCAAATAAATACATAAAATAGCTCCTTTGGCTATGCTAAATGAGAATTCATGAATTATTTGTACCAATTCAGCTACTGGCATGCCTCAGCATGCAGCCTACATTGCTTGAATGGGGAGCTGGACAAGACAGGAGAAAAAATGGTTCAACATGAGCCATGATCCTGGTATCTTCTGAAGCATTATTAACAAATGATGACTTGACTATTAACAAATACTAATTGTGACAAAGCTTGCACCTCCTGGCTCCTCATAAAATTAGTTTTTAATTTCCTTAATTAGTTTTAACAAACAGAGCCAAGACTGGGTGGAAGGAAAAAAAAAAAAAAAAGAGGAGGAAAAAAAAGGAAGCTGTTATAAAAAGGAAACTGAAGGAGGAGAGCTTTTCAAGGAGGTCTGATGACAGAATAGAAATGTTTAAGGACCAAAACAGTTGAGGTCTGTCTCTCATATGAGTTAGTAGGGGTTTTTGGCAGGACAGTTCTAAAAACTTTTGCTTATATGCTCTGTATCTACTATTAAACCATGCCAATGCAAACCCTTATGCAGCAAAGAAACAAGTGTGAGCAGGTGAGTCTCAGATTTCAAACTCGGATTATTTAAAGCAGAGGGTCTCCCACTAAGATGGGGTGTACCTGCTCAGCAAGGGAAGCACTTTGGGTTCTCTTTATGACCCCGAATCCAAGCAGCGCTAGGTATCTCACGCTGCCTCCCCTGCGGTGCTGCATTGGCCAGCCCAGCATGAGCTCTAGTGCCATAGTGTAGGAGGGGACAAGATCGTGCACGTGTGCATGCGTTTGAGCGAAGGGGGATTATTCAGCATCACTGAAGACTCTGAGTGGCTCCACCTGCCTCTGCAACCATACCCTTAATAACACTGAGATATTTTTGTTCAGTTTTAAATAACACTATTCATGACATATAGACTGCACCAACAGTCTACAGGATCAACCTTCCAATTGCGATTTTTTCCAGAATAAAGCCACATCCAAGTTTCCAAGTATTTCTCCCATACATTCACAGGTAAAGAACTTTCATAACAAATAAACATTAAGGCTTTTCTGGCACACGTTTACAAACATATTTCAGAATGCCAAACTTGACCTCTGTGTGGCCAAACACTGAGATTTTGCTTCAACCCAAGAATTTATTAAGACTTACATGAAAATATTCCATCTTAACATAGTACACATTGGTAGCATTTGAATACATATTTACAGATTTATTTGAACTTCTCTGAACTGCAATTCTACAACCAAGCAACATATCCATAAGTGTTTTCATAAACTTTCAAACACTTACATATTTATACATATAGTTTTTGCATATATATATATAAAAAAATATTTTTGAGACTCAAGGACTGAGAATAGTCAAAAGGACATTATTGCTACATTTCCATATTTACAAAAACAATGCATAAACCCATTCAAAACACCAAGCCATTGCAAAATAAGTTTCAAAAAATCCCCAAATTATAAAAATATAAATTTTAAGAACAAAAAAACCCAAACCTCTTTTAGCTAAGTGTCTGTGTCTGTAAAGTACCGAGACATCTATAATTACAACAACTAGTTTGTCTACAGTTGCTCCAAAAGCTACACATTACAAAAGAGCTTTTATAGCATTAAACTGAAAATGCTCAACAAGTATGCATAAGAGCGCCTCCAAACAACTGGGTAACTTTGGAAAGGTGCAAGAGCCTAAGTAAGTTCAGTGCAAATGGCTAATTTTTGACTTAACTCTGAAAGACAGATTCCTATAGCAATAAACCAAATGCACAGTCATAGAAGGAGTTTGGTATTCAATATAACCCAAAATACACTACCAGTGTGTGTATTTACAACTACCTTGCATTTGGGCAGTTACACATTTAAATTGCATGTAAACTCAACTAAAATCCTGGTAAAGTATAAGTTACAGAGTGCTTAAGTGCATTGTAAATAAATAGGTACTTAACTAGTACTCTGCCTCTGACAAACGTTTCTCAATGCCTTTACTAATTTCTAGGGGACAGAAACAAAGGAAGAAAAGAACTAGCAGTGTTTCTGATGGGAAAAGAAAAGGGATTAGAAGATAAACTTGAGCACAACCCTGGGCTTAACAGATACTGACCCCAAAGCCTCATGTCTGTCGAACAAGAACAAGGGGATTCTTTCTTTCATCCCAGATATAAATTCGGTGCTTCGAGTTAGGCTCTTCTTTGTTATGGTCTCTGTACGACTATAGAAAGATGAAACGACTCGGGGGCAGGGGAAAATAGCCCTTTCCAGTTAGCACTATCCAAGCCTGCCTGTGGAAAAGATTCACCTGGGTAAGACAAGATAAAGAATGGGCCCCCAGGACGGAATTTTTTGCCTCTGCTCTCACTTAGATAAGATGACTCGTTAAACGGCCTCTCCTCCAGATGCAGTTTACTGGAAGCAGCCCGCCTCCTCTATTTTGACCAACTTGGCAGGGCCCACCTATCTTTGGTGAACGCTTTTGGACACAACTATTAGCAAAACAAGCACCGAAGCCCTCGGCCTCCCAAGGCAGGGGAGCAGGGGAGCAGTTCAGGCTCCGTGGTGGGGTGAGACCCAGTGATAGGCAGCTGCATCCCTGGCGGGGAATGGGCCAGTGGGAAGTAGCGCATATACCCACGGAAACCTCACAACCGGTCTGCAAGGCTGACAGTGCAGGTGGGAAATAAGACGAAGATCCACGCTCTCTTCTACCCTCCTCTAGTTCACACCCCAGAGCTCTCGAGAGGGTTTGCTGCTGTGCAGACCAACTTTGGAAGGGTCTCAGTCCCTCCACCTCTCTTCCCCAGGTACATAGAGCACCCCTGCTGGCCTCCAACCTACAGTACCTGCCTGGGAAAACTCAGGCTTGGCTGGATGTGGAAAGGTGTTTGCAAAGCCATTAGCTTCATATTCTTTTATTTCTTAAGTTCAGCAAAACAGGATTAACTAGAAAAATGACTGTACTCCTTCCAGGCACGGATCCAGAGAAGGATCACTGCAGATTTGGTTTGATCTGCAGTCATCTCGTTCCACAACCTGGCTCACGATATCTTTTGTTGGCTGTTTGTTTTTTTCTTCAGATCTGGCTCTCTACTGCAAATACACACAATATAGCAAAATATATACAGCTTCAGTTAACATTGCAATGATGCCTGTAACCGTGCTCAGCAGATTAAGTTTATGTGTAACAGCGTGTGGTAAAGGACAGTATTACAACAATGTTTCAGCTACACAGTGGTAGTAGTGAGTAAAAGTAAGAGAAATTATTGAAGTCGTCCGTCTCTCACCCCCTGCACAATACAAACAGTTAAAACATCTGGGCTGCTCTCCCAGATGCCACTCAAACATCTTCTCGTACCAGGAGAGGCTGAGTAGATGAAGCACTGCTACCCACCGAGTTAATCCTCACCGAGTGATCTGGAGCATTCCCTTGACTGGAAGGTGGAGTTGAGAAGTTTGCATAAACCTGCAGAAGCCAAAGACTGGTGTCAATACTCTGCAGATTGCTCCCTTCATGCATACTTGGAGAGCTCTCTTTTCCTAACCTTTTCCCACTGTATACTACACCCTGCCGTGGAAGGGTTCCAGTTCAGGTGTTTCTTTACAAATCTAAAGAGAGTTTCAAAAGGTCTTGGGCTTAATTGCCTTTTTAAGGAATGAACAACCTCAATTTCAGTTAGTAACAACACTGCAGCTTCCAACTACATGCCAAATTTCAACTGAGCTTGAAAAAATGCAGTCAGGTTATTACTAAACTCCCCCAGAAACCTCACTAATACTTCCTTCACATTCTTGCTTTTGTTTTAGTAATGCCTGCACCTGCCAAAAATATGCTACAGGATGCAATTGAACACCAGCAGCTTTCAGTTTCCTCTTTTCTCAAATTGTCAGGAAGCCATATACTCTGTGCCCAAACAACGCATCCAGAAGGTAAAAGGAAGCTTTATTTTTAAACCAGGTTTTAAACTTACTTTTTTAAACCCCACTAACACACAATGTTATTGCCAGAGAAAATCTCTGCTTCTGATGTGCCTCCAGTTTTAATTTGGACTGTTTTGTCCAGACACCCTCTCAGAAAAATCTTTTACTAGGGAATGGTCGAAAGAGCAGTGAATATAGTCTGTCATGACATACCTCTAAGGTTATATAAATAAAGCTAGGCGAAAGAAGCGAGAAGAGGCAGAAGAGCACTGAAAGCTCAACCCCTTTGTCCAGAAAGCTTTTCTAATAAAAACTAAATATACTTCACTTCTGAGATACTTCCCAGATTAATAAAATTTTTCATAGTTTAAAATAAGATGAATTTATGCAGCACCATTGCATTCTGTAACACCAAAACTGCTGTGCCAGTTCTATTTTGAGTGAGAAACATCAACCATGCAAAGAGTCTTCTCCAGCTGGTATGTTTTGGGTATGGGCTTAGACAGCTGCTGTCTAATGGCACAACTAAGCAGCAGTGAGCAGCCCAGACATCATTCCTACCACCCAAACTGACACTGCAAAGCTGCATAAATAATACTGGAAAACTAATGACGTGCCCAGGCTCTTTGCTCCTCACAGCTCGAGTCTAACTTCTTCCTTGAAACTGCTTTGACGCCAAAAAACTGATGACCCATAACTTACCCGGGGGGCATTATCTGAAAGCTGCTGCTCTATCAGCTGTACAATTTGTTTAAATGTGGGTCTTTGTAAAGGATCAGCATCCCAGCAACTCTTCATTATGTCATACCTGCAAAGATACTGAAATTAAGTACTGCTCATCAGGAAACCCTTAGAGCTGTTATCTCACCTCCATTATTATTTCAAAGAAAAAATGTGACCTAATCCCACAGTTTACCTTCTTTAAATGACTTTTAAGAATAGAAATAATGCTGCTAACACCTGTGCTTGTGACAACAAAGGACTCAATACTAATTGGAGTCTCTGGGCATAGTTTTCTTTGACAGCTTGCTAAGTGCCAATCTATTTACAAAACAGTAAATTAAGATGGCTCATAAAGATCAGTAGCCAGCCCTCTTGCTGTCAGGAAGCACAGCACAAATGCAGACGCTGTATAGTCTGGTGATACAATTCACTGCTTTATCTGAATTAAAAATGTTTAATTATGTTCTGTGATCTGTCAATAATATATTGACACAGAGCAGATGCCACGACAAAGTGATCAGATGGTACAAGGCATGAGAGTATTTAATTGCCTGTAACAATACAGGCATGTACTCTGCTAGGTAAAGTACATGAATTATTTAAAACATGAAAAGAACTTAAATAAGATAAGGGGGCAGTGCAATGAGCCTTAACACAAGAATGGAAGCTTCCCTTCCTTTGTGTCATTGCTTGTGTTTGGTGATTAGAGGTGCTGGTTGCTCGCTTACATTTCAGGCGGCGCACACTCGGGGCTGAACATCCTGTATCCCTCCTTGATCATTTTATAGAACTTGGAGTCCACAGGCATCCCTGGATATGGGCTGCTTCCTGTTGAGAGAGCATGTGAGCAACATCATTTCTGCATCTGCAATGAACCCAAGATGAAACAGAAATCTCCTGAAGCACAAAACTTGAAGGAGCCTACCTAAAGAAAAAAGCTCCCAAAGCAGTATCCCGTAAGACCAGACGTCACTCTCAAAGGTGTAGACGCAATTGAAAATACTTTCAGGTGCCATCCACTTCACAGGAAGACGAGCCTTTCCAGGGAAAAGGGAATAAATTGAGACAATGGATATAAGGCTTACAAAATTTACAAGACAAACTAACCTTTTCTACTTTTTATATGCTTTAAATACTTGTTAAATCAAGAAATAGAAGTAACCAACCAAAAATGGACATCTCAGCATTTTAGTCTCCAAGTACTGCATGGTTACTAATCCATCTTTCTGTGGGTCTACCAAACTCGTGCAGTTCCTTGCACTTTGAGTGTCTGTACAATGTGCAATTCCTTCTGTCTTGTGTATAAGGGACGGTAGGAAGTCAGAGGAAAATACTATATATGACCATGGCATGGTTCCTTATATAAACATGCAAGTCTGCTTCTGTAGACTGGCTACTATGGGCACACAGATGGGATTCACACAGTTAAGATGCTTCAAAGCTCTAATAAACATCTGCTTTAGCTTCTCAGTGTATCAGAAAAAAAATTAAAATCCACATTGAAGAAACACATATTGACATAAATATTTTGGGTGGGAGTGTTGATCTACTTGAGGGAAGAAAGGCTCTACAGAGGGATCTGGACAGGCTGGATTGATGGGCCGAGGCCAATTCTATGAGGTTCAACAAGGCCAAATGTTGGGTCCTGCACTTCGGTCACAACAACCCCATGCAGTGCTACAGGCTTGGGGAAGAGTGGCTGGAAAGCTGCCTGGCGGAAAAGGACCTGGGGGTGCTGGGTGACACTTGGTTGAATAGGAGCCAGCGGTGTGCCCAGGTGGCCAAGAAGGCCAACGGCATCCTGGCCTGTGTCAGAAATAGTGTGGCCAGCAGGAGCAGGGAGGTGATTGTGCCCCTGTACTCAGCACTGGTGAGGCCGCACCTTGAATACTGTGTGCAGTTTTGGGCCCCTCACTACAAGAAAGACATTGAGGTGCTGGAGCGTGTCCAGAGAAGGGCAACAAAGCTGGTGAAGGGTTTAGAACACAAGTCTTATGAGGAGTTGCTGAGGGAACTGGGGTTTTTAGCCCGGAAAAAAGGAGGCTGAGTGAGGTGGATGTCGGTCTCTTCTCCCAATTAATGAGAGATAGGACAAGAGGAAATGGCCTCAAGCTGCACCAAGGAAGGTTTAGAGCGTATATTAGAAAAATTTCTTCACCGAAAGGGTTGTCAAGCATTGGAACAGGCTGCCCAGGGAGTGGCTGAGTCACCATCCCCGGAGGTATTTAAAAGACGTGTAGATGTGGCACTTAGGGACACAGTTTAGTGGTGGACTTGTCAGTGTTAAGGTTTATGGTTGGACTCTGATATTAAAGGTCTCTTCCAACCTAAACAATTCTATGATTTTTCATAAGGGGACAGACATCCCTCAGGATTGCTAACTGGAGCAGAGGAAAGGGCACAGAAAGCCTTTGGATTTACTTTCACTTCCTCTCCCTGCTTTGCCCTTTCCTTGTCTGACTGTAGGAGCTGGTCAGGCTTCTGTCCTAAGCATTTGTGTGGGAGAAACCAGGCCTCTTCCTTTTAAGTGGTCTTGCAACGATGTGTCCAAAGATATATTTTGACCATACTATAGAGAAGAGCCTTGATGTCTTGTAAGGAAAGGAGACCAAACAGAAAAGGAGGTAAATGGAAAGGAAAAGAAATGAGGTGGTGGAAAGGCAGCATTTGCCATGGGCTGGCTCACCAGAGAGGCAACCAGAGTTGTTTATTTCCTGAACGACACAGACAGCAAACACTCTTCCTGGCCAAGCCCCCAGCTGCTGTCAGCAGCGCTGCCTCCCAGCAGTGTCCATGGCTAGCAATGCCCCAGCACTCCTGATCTGCTTTAAGATCAAGACAGATGCAACTAGACGCCTCCTGTAGCCGCTGCTTCCTCTCTCCCCAGGCAGCTGCAGCCTATCCTCCTCTGACCCTTTCAGGCTACATAAAATCCTATTCTCAGGCAACTCAGGAAACTTACAGGGTAGCCTAGACAAGTAAAACTTAATTACTTACTGCCCACTTCCCTTCGAAGCTGCTGGTCTGCACTTCCCACTCCCAGGAACCTTGACTGATCAAGCAGCTCCTGACCTGACCCTGAGCCTGAAAGCAGCTTTCTTACACTAAATGCCACTCAGTATTTTGCCAGGAAGCCAGTCCTTAATTATTTCAGCTCTTATTGTTCCCTAACCTCAACTTCCAGGCACCCAGTGGCTGGTACCAACATTGTTTTTGAAGACAACCATTAAATCCATCTCTCCCATAGCCTACAATAGGGATGATGGAGGTACCTGGGACATCAGGGACTTCTGGGTGACAGCAGAGCAGTGCAGGTATCTCAGATACCAGAAGTGCCACAGATTGGCTGAGGTTACATGAGCACGGCAAGCCACTTCAGTGAGAAATGCTCACGTGTGGGATTTTCTCTCTCCGCCTGTTTGCCCAAAGCCAGGATAGGCAAGCTTCAGTTCGTGTGTTGTCGAGCCCCTAACTAATGACCACCCCCTGACCATGGAGTACTCAGCTGGGCTGGGGAGGAGAGCTGCCTTGTTTAACATGGATCTTCTCTCCTTTGAAAAACGGTGCTAGTGAAAGCACGTGTACTCTGAAGGCAGAGGCTGACTGCACGTAACTGCCACAGACTTAAAACACTGATCCAGGCAGCGTGGATCAGTTTGAGATGCAAAATCCCTATACTTCGTAGCACACTTCTCCAGCTTAGCCACAGACAAGCTCAATTTTCTTTTGTAGCACGGCTCCTTTTACTGCACGAGCACTTTAAAGGGGACTTTGAGTGCCGCCAAGGCTGCTGCATCACTTCAAAGTGTCTTTGTATCCCTCCAGAGGTCTAATAGGTACTAGTATGATTAGTACTCTTCTACACGGGAGGTTTTAAACTTTTCTCATCAAAATATAGTGTCTTGTTCCAGCCCTGTTATAAGGTTTGAACTATAGCTGCAAGTTAAAGCTCTATTTGTTACACATACGAGGTTAAAATCTGTATATGGAATCAGAGAAAACCAAGGCTTTTTGCCTCCCACTACGCCCTAATCAATAAATTTACACTTCAGAATCCAGTTTTCATTGTCTGAGTGATGCTTTATAGCAAAGAACAGGATGTAAACCCCTGATCACTTAGGTATTTTAAAAATAAACTGTTTCAGTAATGGACAAATACAGCAATGGCCAGCGAAAAGCTTTCAAAATAACTGTATTTAGGATTGGGCTACCAGAATACTCCAACGGCAAAACTTGCTATTACTGACAGAGCTGTAACTTTCAGTATGTTCATATATAACACAAAGACTGGGCATTATATTGGTGGAGCAAAGACATCTCCTCCGCTACAACATACATTCAGATACTGGCACATTTTTTCCAGCGCAACAACATGTATATACAAAGGATTTTCATCAGCACAAATCTACATCAGGGATTGTGCCTCCTAATGTTCCTGACCAGCATGGATATATATCAGAATTGGGATGTCTACACTTCTGCCTAACTACAGAAGACTTTTCTTTCCAAGTCAAGACAACAGGAACTCCCCTAACTTAAAACACATGGATAAACCATCATATATACTTACGTTTCCTTTGACTACATAATTTGAGTCATTCCTTATATCTCTTGCCAGGCCAAAGTCACAGATTTTTGTTATTCGGCCATGAGTGAGAAGAATATTTCGTGCAGCCAGATCCCGATGAATGCACTAAATAATAAACAAACAAAACAAGCTATTTTATAATATCCTTAACAGGCTGTTGCTTGGTTACACATTTACTTAACTAAATAACTTACAGCATTATGCATTTTGTGGCAAGTTGAAAGGCATAATGAAGCCATGTGTTAATAAGCTTACTCACATGATTAAACATTCTGGTGTAGTATCTTTACTATCATGATATTGATCTACATGGTTAAGGTCATCTATGCACTTCTTTTAGAAAAGACCACTTGCATCCACTTTGAGTTTTCTAGTATTTTACATTTGCAGCTAAAGTTTAATGTACTTTTTCTCTGACTTTTTATCAAAAAAATCACTGGCTTGTTTCCTAACACAGGACATGTAAGTAGAAAGTGTGATCTGTTTCTAAAATAACCCCAACCCCTTATTAAGTAGTTATTGTGGTCGAGGAGAAAATGCTGAAAAGCTGAAAACAGGTAAGAAAACAGGTAAGATTATGGCAACAACTACAAAGCACACAAGTCAGGAAACTCAATCACATTTGAAAAATACTCCTCCAGAAGACTTAAATTATTAAAATTGACGTTATTGAAAAAAATTGAAATTTTCACATGCCAGTATCCTTCAATGAATAGTCATGGATTTGGTGACCTAGCTAGCTTATACTCCAGTTTTCACTTGAGAAGTGTGATGTGTTTGCAGCTCCAGAAGGGTCCCCGAGTTTCACAGAGGTAGTTTTTTCTTTGTATGTAACTGTGGAGCACACACGCATTTGTTAGAGAATGGAGGCAGTTCTCTGTTCTTCCATCTGAAAAGGAGAGCGTTAAGCTCCCACTTTACTGATGGTATATAGTACGCAGACCACAGCTTTCCAAAAAATAGCTGAAGATGGTTCACCTTTTCTCTTTATTTTTTCCTTGAAATACAAAACTCTATCAATTCCCTACAAAAACCGACTTAAAATATCAAGAATTGTGCAAATCAAACTCAGAAAATTATAACTGCAGGCTGCATAAGCAACTTAATCTGTCCCTTTAGCATGCTTACATGAAGTACTATTTTTAACGACAATTAGCATGTCAGAGGACTCTCCTTCACCTCCTAATCCAACGTATTCTTCACTTTGCATATGAAAACTACTGCACTGAAGCAGTTAAGCGAAGAAATGGCCAAGCATCCAGCATGTCTCTGCCTCGTTCCTTCAAAATCAGTGCAAACTGCACTGAATAAAGACTTTTGTCCATTGGAGGAAGACTTTGTCTTGTGATTAAGGCACTGTGTGCTTAGTAAGGGAATTACCCCCCCCCC